CTCACGCTAGGAGCACCCAGCGGCGTAACAATCGCCATAGCGACCCAGGTGGCCGTTATGGGGCCTGGGCACATGGGGGGCCCGGCCAGGGCATCCCTCTGATGCCGTGTGGGCCGCCTGGGTCGCTATGGCATGTTGGGGTGCGGGCTGTTACTGACACAGCTCAGCAGCTGTGTTTCCCCTCACAGCCACTGCAGAGCTGTGTTAGTGACAGCCAGCAGCTACGGCAGAAGAGGCCGGTGTTCGCAGTGAAGGAGGAGGCGGGGCCCGCATAAGAGCAACCCCGCCTCTTCTTACATCACTGGCCAGCGACCTAAGAGGAGGCGGGGCCAGTGATGTAAGAAGAGGCGGGGCCCGGCGACCACAGAGGCGGACAGCGCTGACAGGTAAGATCTGAGACCCTGCAGAGCCCACAATAGAGAGTCTTTGGTGGGCTCTGCAGGGTCACTTTCAGGTGGGCTGTTTGGTTTATCAGGTGGGCTCTGCAAGTGGCATAACTAGCAATCACAGGGCCCCATACAAAATTTTGCTATGGGGCACTGTGTTTTCTAGTTACGCCCCTGGGAGCACGTCAGAGTTCACTCCTAACTTCTCCCTTTACATCAGAAGCCTGCCTGCACTATGGAAAGGCATGACTCTGTCACAGCTTTGTGAAAGCAATATGTAAATTGTAGTTAACAATCACTTTTACACCCCAGTCTGACACCTCATTGGTGAATATACTTTTATAATTTTTCTTTCCTATAATTGAAAGAAACGCTTATCACCACCCAATGTCTACTAAGATGAAGATGTTTTCTGAATTCAGCTGCATTAGGCGTGATGATGCCACATGTCCTTAGACCGGGGGAGAAAAGGCTGTGGGGATTGGTCTAGCAGCCAAGTGGGACTGAAGCTCATGTGAGTATATTATCTTTATTTTAGAACCTAAACCAAAATGAGCAATTACTGGAGCCCCACTGCAAGGGGTTAATTTTTTTGATTGCTTGGAGTTCCAAAAAACAAAAGAACAATGGTCTATGTTATCATTTAGGTAGAGAGCCCAGTGTCTTTTTCCTCATTACAGAAGACAGTAATGGCATGGAGGTCAGCAGGGGGAACCAGTGAGAGCCGTGGAGCACCCGCGAGATTGATGCTCCTGGACATGTCAGTTTCCCTGTGGAATTTGGGGGACTTTAAGGGCTTTTACACCATAACACCAAAGCTTGGATATTCCTGCTGGCATAGTCCCAGGTGTAGCATACAACCTCCTACTAAAGTCAATGGCTGTATGCTGTTGTCAGTGGATATACACCGGCACTGCATAAACCCACGCATGATGTAAAATCTCGGACGAACCCAGTCTACATATCCTCCAACAACAGCGTACAGTGATTTTTGTTTGAGGCTATACACTGCACCAGGAGCTCTCTGCCGGTGGGAATACACCATCATCATTTACAGTGTGCAAGAGCCCTAATGGAGAAGTATTCAGCAGTGTGGCCAGAGTGAAATGTAAGTATTTACAGTCTTTTTATACAGGCATAGCTTTCCTTAGTCATTTTTGTATAGCGACAGGGTATGGTGTCTCTTACAGGTTAGTTGGTAAATATTAGCTAAAGCATTGATTCCCTCCACCCAATCTGGGACTAGTGGAACAGAAATGATAATGATATTAATTGGCTGGGGCATTATGTCACTCTGTAACTTCTTTTTGTTTTCTAATCACATTCAAGTTCTAAATCTGTGAATGTAGATTCAAGATAATAAAACACCAAGGATATCTTACAAATGCCCTTTAATAGCGTATATTTAGCTTCTATGTGATAATGCATTTGGATTGACTTCTGAGAGGTACAGTACATAGGAAGGAATGATGAGTAGATATGCAAGTGTTCAATTAATCCTTTCCCTTTAATGTTCTTCAATGATCAAAAGAGCTTTGCGTGATTCTTGGCGATTGTCTGCTTTCTAATGTAGTTCAGAGGAGCAGGTCACCCCCACAGAGCATAGGCAGCTTTGATCTCACACTTTGTTTCAGTGCACCACGGGAAATATTTCACAACAGTTGTGTACTGCAAGAGACTCAAATACCACGATGCTTTTAATAATGATGTAAAAAAGTATAAAGATATTAAACTTAAGCGCTGCGGAAACTGTTGGCGCTATATAAATCGTGTATAATAATAATAATAAGAAGAACTTTGGCATGTTTTAAAAGGGTGATCTGCAATCCTTAAGAACTGCGGTAATGCAGAATTATATACTGGGGCTATTGGGTAACTTGCACTGCACAGATGGTAGCAGCCCACCTCTAAGTTGTATTGTATTACTGATTAATAGTGATGTTTCTATAAGGCAAGCTGGGAAGACCTCAAATGGTACTGTCACGATGGAGGAGGCCAAGAAGGTACTCGTATGGTCCACATTTGCTCTTACCTACTATTGTTCTTATTGAGTGATGTATAACACTAGGATTGTCTGCTGTAATTACCTGCTTTCCTTGGCTCACCTCTGTAATTTGGTGATACAAACTTCATAGCCAATACCAACCAATAATGCCTTCATAAATATGGAGTCCAGCTCATGGATTAGAGCGCTTCTTCATCCTGGGAGCTGTTAACCAGAGTATAATGTAATGTCCATCTACCTATTTATCTGCAGGTCTCAAGGGAAACGGACACCCTTTTATCATTTATGGCTTGCCCGTCTCCCTGTATATATTTATATACTATCAATGGTGCTTATATTATATATTTTATATGAAATATAGATGTTTTAACCCATGTTGGCACGGATCTTGGAATTAATGAAAAACCTCCCCTCTTCCCCTGTGTCCTGATCTACATGCTCTACACGTATCATGTAGTTATATTCCCAGATCTCAAGGGAAAGAGGGAGGTTTTTCCTAAATACCCTGCAAGTGCCTGATATAGCAATGGGTTGGGACTAATGGCATTTAGATGATAATGGAATTGCTTGGACATGCTCATTCTTTGGATATGAGTTGATTAACATTTCATTATATGTAGAATACACATACTTTATAGATAATCTTGATTATTAGTCCCAAAGATCTGTGGTCATGGGGACACATAACTGAAACCCAGCCTTGTCAAGGCCCCTGTAATGGTTCCATCAGCTATTCTGGTGGTAGCTTTATAACTTAAGAGCTGTATAAGATGACAAAAAGATGTGAATTTAAAAGTACCCAGATGTGAAGCCATGTTGCTACTCCTTTAGAAAGCTTGGCAACAAAGTAGTCACTCATGGGGCCATATAACCTGGTGGTTACAACAAACACTATCTGGTTGTGTTTAGTTCATTGCTTGTGTCACTTTGCAGGGGCTTACGGGAATGTTTGAAAGCAGATTAAGTTCAGTGACAGTGGTTTTCTGATTGCATCATCTGTTGAGTACTCTAAGGATATTCTCCATTTCTGTCATCAGTACTGGTCACATGTTAAGCAAAAGAAGATTACTGACAATGTAAAGTAATATTTTCTTCTGGAAGGATCACATAAGGAAGACATATGAAAAATGATACAACACAGCGATGTGTTTGCCATCAGTCCATGCTAGGCCCCAGACTGTGTTGCCCATCCAGAAATCAAGGTATGGCCCTGGGCGGAGATCGAACCTGGTGCAGAATCCTTAAAAACAAAATCTTTCTAAGTGGTGTACAGCTAAAGCAACTCTTAAAGTATCCTATTTTCTAATGGCTCTTTCTGTCATTGATCTATGCAAATCAGAGATTGCAAATACAATGGAAAATGCATTCCAGTACCCTAACTAATAATAAAAATGTATCTTCTTTACTGTATCTCAAAATAACATATATCACCATGGTGCTGTCTAAGCAAGGATACCAACATTTAAAAAAAAAAAATCTTCCCAGGGCTGTTCCTGTTAACGATTGACAAAAATGTATCTTATTTGTGTTTCACTTGGCTGTGGATCCTCAAATCATCTCTGAATTCATGCTGACACTGTCCTTCCTTCTGGAGGGTGGCTACTTTTGTTCCCCATGGTCCCTGTGTGTGTTGTAAAGTAGTTACCACTCCATGCTCGCTCCCGTGATGGACTACAATCTCAATACAAACTAGTAAACTAAACAGGACATTGTAGTCCATCACGGGAGAGAGCTTGGATCGATGACTACTTTGCAACACACACAGGGACCATGGGGAACAAAAGTAGCCCCCCTCTAGAAGGAAGGACAGTATCGGCATGAATTCAGAGATGCTTTGAAGATCTACAGCCGAGTGATACACAAATAAGACACATTTGTGTTAATAGTTAGGATACTTGAATGCATTTTCAAGGTTTAACTCCTGAGCTTAGTGTCATTTTAACATAGCACTAGGGACCGAGACAAACATACCTTCCAACTTTCTGAGATTAGTAAGAGGGAAACCCTTTTAGTATGCAGGCAAAATACAAACCCATTCCATGCCCCAATTAACCGAAGTTGAGAGAATCAGTACACAAAAAATGATTGGGTAAATCCACAAGTGCTTTTTCACCACTACTTTTCCTTTATACTGACTTTTCCGAATAACAAAATTCGATAATTTAGAGGTTGAATAACAAGATTTAGTGCAGTTATAACACTTTGGTATATAAATAGTACATTTTATATAGAGGCCTATGCATTAGACCAAGGAGAGGAACAACTGAAGAGGGAAAGGGCACTTGGTTCCAAAAGATGGACAGCCTGTCCAAATGAGGGATAGTTGGTAGCTATGAACAAATCCAAAGCACATTTTTAGTAAGTGTTACAACATTTGAGTGCTTTCTTGTCCTAATGATAACTTTCCCCGTTTCCTGTATGGGGACTGGAAGTGAGGGAAGGATTTAAACCAGCTGCTGAGAAAAATTGCTGTAAAAGGTAAAGATGAATGGCTCCACATTTTCTGCAGCTATAGAGGTCAGTGAGGGTTTGCTTTAAAGCTCATACTGCTTGTTAAGAATAAGTACATTTTTGAATGTCAATAGCCTGACCACCGTTCTAGTTTAAGCCTATGCAATAATGTTATAATGTGATGTCTGATTTAAAGCTAGAGGGATCTATAATGGAAAATAATACATATTTATTTTGTTTTTTTTATATGAACCATGGTTAAATGGAATACTATACACAATGTATATGACTGAATACAGATAATTATCTATCTTCATAATTATTTACTGTTATGGGAAACAAGGCCTAAGGATTATACCCCAGAGTTTGACCAGGAAGATCCTTCTCAGTCCAGTATGTTCCACATGCAGGACGTTATGTAATGTTCTGTATACAAGGGCCCCATGAATGAAATGGAAATTGTGTTGCTGGTAACATATTTGTGCGAGGAATACAATAAGCTTTGTCTGTAAGTCAATCTTGTCCGGAATGGAATGTATCTAGAATCTGTCCACTCTGGTAGCAAGTGATGTCTGTCCTCGAAGGTTCTGTGCTCTGCAAATGTAGTATCCAGCATCAATGGTTTCAAAGTCTTCCACGGTTAGGATGCTTTTTGAGACTCTTGTGGTGTGTCCAATGCCACGGTTAACCAGTCTCCAGGAGTCTTGGATAGTCACAGGCCTTTGATACTGCACAAGCAAACAAAAGGTTTGTCAAAGTTTATAGCCCAAAGGCAGCAAAAGACAACAGATGATATTTGCATTGTCATTCTTTTTTTTTCTTGAATTTGTAATGGGAAAAAAAACTGCCGCAGTAAAAAAGTGCAAGCGTTATGAGGTGCCAGGACATACTTGCAAAATTTTCCAAAAGACTGAAGATGTGACTGAATGACTGCCCGCTCTGACCAGCAAAGCGCCAGCATTTTCTGATGGTGTTGAAGCTTGCCCATCTCCTTCTGCACATCTCTATTGGCCACTGAGGCATCATAGTGATGAGCCAAGAGGAATGTGAGGGCAGTGGCAGGTTCTGCCATTACCTGGAGGTGTCAGCGCTTTTCAAGCTGGAACAGCCCAATATTCACCTGTAAGTGTATCCTTTACAGGGTGCTGCAAGTATGTCTAGGGACTTCTAGACTTTATACCTGTAGCAGTTTTTTCCCTGACAGGGTCTCTTTAACCAAAGAAAACTAATCTTATCAAAAATATATCACTCTCATTTTATGCTCGCTATTACTGAACAGTGCATACAATACAAATAATTGCTGCAGATTAGATTGGGACTGCTGAGAAAATTGTATTACACCATCTTGATACATTTTAGCTGATTCCCCATGATTTATTTTAGTATATGTCAGCTTGGCAAATCACCTACATAGTTAGGAATATCGCTGTTCTTTAATTTGTTTGCTGAGTCATAACTTTGCTATCCATTATCCCGTACTATTACTGATTCTTCTTGGACCATGCGGTGGTTGTAATAAATTAGATAAATCACTGTCATGTTAACAGCCTGTGGCCCATTTATAATATCATGATTGCCATGTACATTTTAAAATCAGATGTGCAGGTGTAATATGATCAGTTGCAAAGGAAAAACTCTAATACAGCCAGAACCAGTAATAGCTGTTTACCCCTTTGGACTGGTCAGCCATGAGTGTCCTAAAGAAAAATTGAAAATATACTTGCCTGATCCTTGGTTCCGCTTGGCTGCCAGACCAATTCCCGCAGCTTCTTCTCCCCCGTCAGGACCCCTGACATTATCATCTCTAATGCAGCTGCATTAGACTTCAGGAAGTCGAATATGGGGCAGTGCAGTGTCCCGGTGTTAGAACACCGGGGCCCGCACTGCCTACTGGCGTCTCAGTAAGGGGCGGGTCCTCCTCTTCCGGACGCGTCCCTGGTAACAGGCGACGGGAGAGGAGAAGTCCCTGCAGTGCACACAGAGTCTGGCTCTGATCCTGCGCTGGCTGGGTGAGTACTAATCGGGGGAGGGGGCAACGGTTGTGTACTGTTATTTCATTGTGTTAGAAAAGCGGATTATAATGGGGAACATTACACTGTAATGTTTCCTATTATAATCTATTTCTATGATTAAATTATTACAGATAGGCCTCTGTTCTATCAAAGTTTGTGACTACGTTAGAATGTGTGACGGGTCACGTGGTCACACATTTTAACGTAATCCCGCCCAGTTTTTCAGCGGTGGAATGTGTGACCGCCAATAGGTCAAGCATTCCAACGCTTTCTCAGCTTTTCCAGGGCAGATCGGCATGGCATTCTTTTTATTTTACATCCAAGACCAAAACAAGCACTTAACCCTTTCAGTGCAGGGGTAGCCCCACCACAAGGGTTTATTTTTATTCTACCAGGAGTTCTTCTTTAAACAGGAAAAATATTGATGCCTTTGTACTTTGTTGCTATTGATGACATAGGGGTACACAGGGGGTGTGATTGGGCACGCCCTAATCACCCTAAGAGCAACACCAGAACCGCAACAGCAGACACCGTGTTTTTAGTCACTGAGCCAGTGGTGAGATCACAAAGATCTCTCTGTGACCGGCTCAGCTATACCGAGTGCAGCAGCAATTGCCACTTACATTCCTCACATAACATCCACAGTCCTCACTGCCCGGGAAGCTGCGAGGGAGCATGGCTGCGGCCTGCTTACACCTGCTAGAAGAGGCAAGGGACAGTTGATGAAATGGTAATCCAGGATGCCTCAGGTCTGTGTCTGTATGTACAGTATGTAATATATATATACAGTATGTTTGTACTTTTGTATGCACACCCTAATGCAGTGGTCTCAAACTCAATTAACTCAGGGGCCACTCGACAAATTTCATACTTTAAAATAAAATGTAACTATATGGTATGGTACTACGGACACTAATATAGACACTAAAAGGCCCTATTCATATCTGTAGGTTTAGGTGCGATTAGGGATTCCTGCGTCAGGAACTTGCGTTTTCCTGCAGCAGGAATCACTAATCGCGTTTACAAGCGGCCGCTGTCACCCGTTCAAGTTAACGAACAGGTGGCTGCATGTAAACGTCTGCACACCGCATGTAGTGGTATGTGATTTGATTACATTTAGTTAGGAATCAATTACTGTCCCCGGACACATCGATTGTGCATCCAGGGAGAGTGTTTTCTAACCGCATGTAATCATATCACATACCATTACATGCGGTGTGCAGGCGTTTACATGCAACTTCTGTCTCCTGATCATTAACTTGAATGGGTGACACAGCCGCTTGTAAACGCCAGATTAGGGATTCCTGCTGCAGGAAAATGCAAGTTCCTGACGCAGAAATCCCTAATCGCACCTAAACTTACAGGTGTGAATGGAGCCTAATAAACTCCCCCCCAAGACATAGATGCAGACCGTGTAGCTGCTCCCGCAAGTCAGGTACACGGTCCGTGACAACGTACCTGACTTGTGAGCTGGCTGCGGGCCACATAGTACTGGCTCGTGGGCTGCAATTGGCCTGCGGGCCGGTACTTTGAGACCACTGCCCTAATGCAATAGACTGTGCACGCCTATGATTGTTGACAGCAAGCAAATAGATCCTTCAAAATATCAAGATAGATGCCCAGATGACTTGACTATAGCTGTCTTATTTTTGACAAATTATGAGAAGAACCAACTCACTGAAAAGTGTATGCTTGGAAAAGTTGAATGAGAAAGAAATGGAAAACCACCTGTATGACGGCTAGATACAAAGAGAGTATGAACATATTGTGAGGACTAATGAAGAAAAAAACACGTAATTCTAGAGAAACACTGTCACTGTGATTAACATCGACTTGACACTTGATGATAATAATAATAATAATAAAATGTTATTAATAATTTTGCTGCTGGTTCCATCACGTGTAAGTACTATTAATATTTACCAGATACGTGTTCTTGTGTTTGTACAATCTATACAGGACAAACAGAGCTTTTCTTTCCTTCCCGTCTTTCCTATAGTCTATTTGCTGTATGAGCCTCTAGCACATACTGTTATATGTATGATGTTTGGTGTATAGGTGAGCTTTGTTACTGAAAATGGACAATGACTCTGCACATTATTGGATAGATACTGGTGCTCAGAGAGCAAAAACCAATTTACTAGAGTGGAGCTGTTTTCTTTTTGCAGTCACTATGAGGAAGCAGCCAGAAATGATTGTAAGGAAAGTGAGATATTGTCACTGTGAAGCTTATTAAGGTTATCTTCAGGAAAAGCTCCCCAATAGAACATGCACTGGCTCTGGTCTTCAGTGAATTTGTCTCGTATCTCCTGACTGCAGTGTATGTCATTGTCAGCATCCGCAAGAGACACTGAACTCTAATTGTTCTCCAAAGGAAGCATTTTACCACTCAACATAACATTTTAAATGGAATTGGACCATCTTAGCCATATGAAGAAAAAAAAAAAAGCAGAAAGAAAACTGGGTGCAAACTGGGAACACAAAATTCATTCAGCATTAGAAAATGAAATTTACTTTCTACTTTATGAAGACAATGTTCATCTACATTGCAATACTAAAGAGCTAATTAAAAGACACTTAGCAGAACATCTGGAGCAGCTGTACAGATATGTCTGCGTTATTCCCATATGACAAATGAGTCACATCCCTCTCATCACAGAGCACAGCTAATCCTTCCTGTCATTGTCCTGACTTCTTACCAGCATTATCAATGGAATGTTGTGCTGCTATGGGCATTGGGCTGATGCATGGATGTGCTCTGAAGGCTTGGTCATAAACACAAATATGGACTGTTCTTCTACCTCATTATAGGCATGTTTATAACAGTACCTGTAGCATTGCTATAAACACAAAGATTTGTTGTTTTTTTAAGTGACACTAAATTTAGGAGTTAAATCTTAAAAATGTATTCAAGTACCTTACCTATTAACAAAGCTGAACCTTATTTGTGTATCACTTGTCTGTAGATCCTCAAATCATCTCTGAATTGGTGCTGACACTGTCCTTCCTTCTGGAGGGGTTACTTTTGTTCCCCATGGTCCCTGTGTGTTTTGTAAAGAAGCCTCCAAGCTCACTCCCATGATGGACTACAATCTCACGTTTAGTTTACTAATTTGTATTTAGATTGCAGTCCAACACCCTTGAACAGCAGTATTGTCAACTTGTGTTGAAGGCAGTGTTAGATGAACTTGCAAATTTAGATGGACTTGACCAACAAATTTATGCTGAACTCCAGAAAACACTTTTTAAGCAGTTACATGAACAGTTTCTAATGTTTCCTTTTTGGATAAGGATTTTACATAACTGAATAAAAGCCGACCATTGTAAGCACCCCTGTCAGTGTTCAATGGTTTGTCTCAACCCTCTATCTGCCACTTTTGCTGGACAGCTTGGCCTAGTAAAGGAAGTTGAAAACTAACAGACTTACCGGCCAGATCACCTGGTGAAAGTAAAGGAGGGAAAAAAATAAACTAATGCAGCCACCACATTTAGGATTGATAAGCTGCAATATATAAAATGTTTGGTTTTGGGTTTCGATATGTTTTAATGCACACAGTAAAAAGGGAACTCATGAGTGCATGTACTATAATATATATTGAGCAGACATTGCAAGTTGTGTAGTACACTTGGAATAAAAACAGATACCAAGAACCACTTCTAAGTTGCAACAGAATAGATACCATGTAGTGTCCATACTGACATAATACACACTGAGA